AATATATTTTAATAGATCTTGAAGCAAAAAAGTACACCCAAACTTAATCTGAGTAGTCAATTTGCAGTGTCACTGCTCACTCAGATGGGATTTGGAGTGAGATCTCTGGAAACCAGCAGCCATATTGTCAGCCAGTCAGTTGATCACTACTTGTTGATTATTTTAATGCAAAAATTATTTTCAATATGTCTTTAAGTGAGAAAGTTCATGTGAATAATCAGCTCATCCTGGTTATAAGCACACTTTTTGACAGTTTATATTCATCAATTTGTTTTAATTTAGAATTAATAATTTATTAATTAATCTAATCACTGTATAAATAAAAGCCTTGTTAAATGACATCCACACAGTATCCCTTTCCCCCCCGACTGTAGATTAAAGTGATCTGATTTGAACGCTTGAAATGTCGTTTAAAAGTGACCGGAGTTGGAGAGGTCACTGCATTTCCACCTGTGGAAATCGAAAACAGATCAGGAAAACTAAAACGAGTTGGGAGTGAATGGGTGGTGTTGCAGAAAAGGTTGTGTGTTTCCACAAAATTAATTTTCTGGCAACAGAATACTATTTTATTGCTAAGAAATACTAATTTGTGTAAAGGAAAATAGTATATGGCCGCCTTGAACCTTTCCACCTTTTGCCATATTTCAGGATTCAAACATAAAGATATAAAATTATCATAACTTAGACTCAGACAACTTTTATAAATTTCGTTTGGTACAGCTTTTAAAACAGTAAAAGAAGATTTCCATACAATAAAATGCAGCAGTGATCAAATGTAAACATTGTGGGGAAAAACATGGTGGAAAAAAAGCATTGATATGGAAATTCAGAACATTGATATATCTGGTGCAAATATGTAGTATTTTAATTTGGTGTTATTTTTCTGAAGAAGCAACAACAACTGGGACAAATTTATTAGATATTTCAAACTTTTTAAGCAAATAAAATCCTTTGGAAATATCCCACCCGTGCATAAAGAACTTTCTCACACGCAAACATTTGGAGGAAAAAACAACTTCAGTTCATCAATGCCATTCCCTGTTCATTTATCCTTCTCCCGACTAACACTGGCCAGATGGATCTTCTCAAAACAGCAGTCGTCCTCTTCATGCCATGAAGGAGGCTGTGTAAACACATTCTTATCTCTCATGACCGTCTTTTGGAGCCTGTGAGACTAAGAACAGACATATCTCAACATTTGTTTCCCCCACACTATATTCTCCTAGTATATCCCAGGCTTGTCTAAATGTTGTGCAGCAAACTATAAAGGAGCTTCAACATGCTTTTTCTTCAGCAATGGAGTCTTGCGTGGTGAGGCTGCATACAGGCCATGGTGGCTGAGTGCATTACTTATCGTTTTCTTTGAAACAAATTTACCTGGTCTACCAGGTCTTTCTGAATTTCTTCAAAGGTGGTCTTCTGATAATTATTTTCACTCCTCTGTCAGAAATCACGCGAGGAGCAGCTGGTCGTGGTCGTTTTATAGTGAAATTATGTTATTTCCACTTCCGGATTCATTCAGAAGTTAAGAAATCCTTCTGTAACCAACCAATGCCAACATTAAGGCTGCAAAGGTCCTAAGAAAGCTGCTTTTAAACTTAAGTTATTCTTTATATGTTTATTTAGGATTTAGCTAACGTTACAGGTATTCCATTCTGACTGGAATGAGAAAAGCTTTGAATTTAGACCATTGGTCTTAAACAGTTAGAAATATTCAAGTACCCGCTCACTCAGTTTTGCACATATAAAAGAGGCTTTCAGTAAAAACTGGTTCAAAAGCTTTATATGACTGGAATATTCTTCACAAAAAAGTGCAGCTTTCTGTTGTCCTAGTCAGGTATTTGGCAAAAGGCACTAAGGAAGTTCCTAAAATGTAGAAAATGTATGTAGAATACATAGAGACAGCTCTCTGGGTGCTCAGCTCCCCTAAACTTCTGATCCTAGAATCACCCCTGGAGCACACACTTGTTAGCAATAAGAGCATAGTGCTTTACAATAACCCAAACATTAAACAAAAGCATGGAGAATTATTTTCGGTTCATAATGAACCTTGGTATAGCAAAATATCTCAACAATAGAATTGAAATGTGCAGCTAAGTAAGCCATAAGGTATGCTAATGTTGCTC